TGGCAATTTCTGGTCTGAAAGTCACTTTTTTAGAATAAGATTGACAGTGGGGTTTTTTGTTTTTTGTTTTTAACTTTTTATTGTGATTTGGGGGAAAGTTTGCAGCCAAAATTTTTTTTCCATTCAACAATCTATACACATTTTGTTTCATGACGTTGGCTGCAATCCCCACAATGTAACAGCATTGTTTCCTGTGTTTTCTGTCTCCATTTGTCTTTCTTTCCAATTCCTTCTCACCTTCTGAGCTTTGTCCCAGGGTAAATGCTGCCCTTTGGGTCTCGTATGGTTAATTATTCTAAGTCTATTGTTGGCAGAGGGTTGAGTCATGGAGGTGAGTTCAGTTCTATACTTGAAGGGTGCTTAAAAGGGCCACAGTCTCAGTGGCTCCATCTGTCTCTATTCAACCAATAAGCCTGGTCTTTTTTGTGGTTTTGAGTTCTGTTTCACATTTTCCTCCCACTCTACCCAAGGCCTTCTATTCCAATTAGAGCAGTCAGTTACGGTATCCAGGCATCATCTAGTTCTTCTGGTTTCAGGGTTTTACTGGAGGCTGGGGTTCACATGGTCCATTAGGCTAACAGTGGTTTGGGAAAGGACTCAAGCTAACTGAATTGTTGACATGGTGAGATGCTAGTAACAGCTGATCCTGATTTCCAGATGCATGAAATGAAAACCGTAGATCTTGCCAAACCAAAGCAGACCAAGTCACGAGGGAAAACATTTTAATGTCAGATGTTCTCATTACGTGAAAAAAAAAATTTTTTTTTATCCTTTCAAACAGGTATTTTTCACAACTCGGTGTCTGGGTGGAGGTCTAGCAGAGGGTTACATGGAGGGATTTTTACATCTGCCAGAATACAATTATGATCCTGGCTGAGAGGGTCCTTGGAGGCAGAATAGAAAATGTTTGCAAAAAATAACCATGAAAAAGATTTCTCATAATGCTTACCATAATCAGATAAAACAAGGTTTCTCATAATCCTTGCTTAGCACATTATACCCTGTGCAGACTTCTCTAAAAGACCTCCAACTTATCAGCAGTCAGGAAATTGCTCTTTCTTCCGGACAGAACTCTCAAATGCTAGACCCTAAAGATCATCTAGACCTGGTGTGGTAATTTGTAGGATAAGCTCTGGACTGGTAATTGCAAGGTCAACTGTTCAAACCAAACAGTTGCTTACAAAAATCCTACACAGGGTTGCTATAAGTCAGAATCGATTCAATGGCACACAGCAGTAAAAATAACAACAATAATGCAATATGAACATCAACTTTAAAGTCGAGCAAACCTGGGTTTGAATTTGGTTATAGTAAACCCTATACAGGATCACTATGAGTTGGAACTGACTCCACGGCACATAACAACAACAACAACAGCTTTGTGTAAGTTACTTACTCCCTCTGCCCCTCAGCTGCCTCATCTGTAAAATATGCTTACAAGGAATACCTATCTAGTACGATTAGTGGAGTCCTGGTGTACTGCTGTAGGATAAACAGTGGACCGCAAGGTCGGTTTGAACCACAAGGCTGGTATTTCAAACTCACCAGCTGCTCCTCGGAAACCCTATGCAGGGTCACTATGGGTCGGAACCGGCTCAACGGCGCTGAACAACAACAGTGACTCTGCAAAAGAAAGACTGGGTGATCTGCTTCTGTACAGATTACAACCAAGAAAACCCTATGGTGTGGTTCTACTCTAGTCAACTCTACAACATGCCACAACAGCCACAAAGAAGCTGACATTCCAGAAAAGGGAAGTGGATCAGAGAGCATGACCACCACCACCACCAGCTCTCAAGTGTTTGGAAATCAACAAAACCTCTGAGTCTTGCCGCCTCCTGCCTCCACTCCACACCCCCGGAGCTTTCTGCAGAGGCTTGCTTCCAATCCTGAAGGCTGTGTAATGCCTGTACTTACTCCGCTGTTGCCCACATGGTGCAGTTGGACCCCAAATGCTCCTCCTTTTTCTCCCTTTTCTCAAACACACATGCACACAAAATATCACACACACACACATAATCACGTACATGCCAAAAGGCTGTTATTCTCTAGAGTAAACATTCAAATTATCCACAGCAATATTTGGTTTCTGCCTGGGAGGAGACTGTGACCTCCAGCCAGGGCAAGTGCAGTGCCTGGTGTCTGTGGAAAGGACAGAGCCTGTTAGCTCGGATAAACATTCCAGCACTCCTGCCTCCCACCTTTGTTAAACTTTACAAATGTCAGACTAGGGCTCCATGGAGACAGTCCAGTCTTCCTCTGCTCCATTAGTGGACAGGTGGCCTGTGACTCTACAGAACCAACTCAGTTTTTGTCAAGGTCAGGACAGTGAAAGCCTCTGTTGTTGTTGGTAGGTGCTGTGGAGTCATTTCTGACTCATAGCGACCCTATGTACAAGAGAATGAAATACACTGTCAGATCCTGCATCATTCTCACAATCATTCTTACGTTTGTGCCTTTTGCTATAGCCACTGTCAGCCCATTTTAATGAGGCTTCCTCTTTTTCATTGACCCTCTACTTTACCAAGTTTGATGTCCTTTTCCAGGAACTGATTCCTCTTGATAACATTTCTGAACTATGTAAGACAAAGTCTCTCCATCCTGGCTTCTAAGAAGCATTCGGGCTGTACTTCTTCCAAGACAGCTTTGTTTGTTCTTCTAGCAGTCCATGATATATTTAATATTCTTCACAAACGCCATAATTCAAAGGCATCGATCTTTCTTCCATCTTCCTTATTCATCGTCCTGCTTTCACATGCAGATGAGACAACTGAAAGTACCATGTCTTGGATCAAGCTCAACTTGTCCTCAAAGTGACATCTTTGCTTTTAAACCCCTTAAAGATGTCTTTTGCCAAACTTTCTACTCTCAGTAAGTAGAGGTAATGGAGAGGTGGGGATCCCTGGGAGAAGAGAGAGGAAGGAGGGGCTATATGTATGCTCATTTCAACCTCTGAATTTTCCTGATTCTTGGGCTGCAGAGATGAAAGGCAGAGTCCACAAAGTTAAGAGATTAGCTGGTCAGGACAGAACTAAACCTCAACCCAAATCTTCTTCCTTCTACTGCAGAACTGGTGCCCACTGGGAGTATGCCACCTGTGACCGCACTGGTGGCCTCTGCTGCCTTACTCACAGCATCCTGTCCACTTGAGTCAGAGTCAGGAGCTAGATTTCCTTCCCTTGACCCCTTGGTTCCTCTCAGGACTTGTGAGTTCCACTTACTGTTCAGGAGGTGGAAGTCCACAGAAGATGATGGGGAAGGGACTTTACAGTCTGAGATATCTAAATACTGAGACCTGTCTACTTGCAAACCTGGTTCTGAGTAGATGAGGACTCTGCTGTCCTTAGGCATTTGCACAAGACCCAGTCCCCTCTCCACCCCCACCAGTGCTGCCTCCCATTCTCCCTCCTCCCAGCCCCAGCTCCATCAAGTCCTTGTGATTCCAAAAACCTTGTTCCATGAATCTGCAACCAGATTCTTCCATTTCAGGAGCTTCATGAGAACTGCTTTCTGTTTCAATGTGGACTGGTGGGGAGGAACAAACGGCCTTTGGGGTACCAGAGGGGATGAGGAAAGAATAGGAAATATGGAAAAAACAAACTGATGATTATTTTGAGTTAGAATCCTGTCAAACACATGACCAACCAGCTTCTGGTTTTCTTGAGTCTCCTTCCAGGCCACTCCCATTAACAAGTTGATAGAGCAATTCCCTGGTATCCCAGGACACACTGGTCTCAGTTAATTAAAAATGCAGACTGTCTTGGGGTAAGGAGAGGATTTTAAAGATTCTGGGAGAAGCTTAGCCTGGGATGACCCTCTTACTCTCAGGGGGTGTACAGAACTCCAACTTCAAATACCAGATCTGTCACGCCCACTCCGAAGGAATCTGCGTGACAAAGGTGGCCAGATTGGAGGCATTGGCTTCAACGGGAGCAAGCCCCTCGGAGTTGTTCCAGCTAGATTTATAGTCAGCCTTTAAATTTCTTGCTTTAATATATATGTGTGTGTTTTTCTTGTGCTTCCATGGCAGACCCCTAAATGATGTTGTTTTAATAATCATACCCAACCCCTGTTTTAATAAAGTCATTGTGCTCTGAGAAATTGGCAGAAGAATAGAGGTTACAATTAGCTGTGTAGAATTCACATTTAGGTAATGTTTGACAGAGCATTTTGGCCACAATGCATTCACCTGTTTGAAATAAATTGTTAACTTAACATTCACACACAATACTGAAGATAATAGTTAGAAGACTAGGAGTTAGAAAAACAGGATATAAGAAAAGATCACATAGGAACATATGATTAACTTGAAACATTATGATGGTATATATTGAAATCAGATAATAAAAAGAATGTTGTAATCATACTTATGTCCTTTCCTTTCCCTCACAATAAAGCAATTATTGTAGCTAGTGAAGCATAAGTAGTCTTAACAGAATATGGTAGAAGAATCATTAAATGTAGATGTTAGACTATAGAACTAAAAGTTTCTGATGTATTTCAAAGAAACTGTGATTACGCACATCCCCTGACTATTGTTGTAAAGAAAATAATTACTGATTTTCCGAAACTAGCATTGATTAAACACTTATGTAAGTAGTAAAACGATATAAAAACTGTGGTCTTAGAGCAATAAAGAGAGACATCTTTGGATGGAAAGAGAGTCTCCGTGAATTCATTCGCCGAATTATTTCGCACCAACAAAGACACCCGTGGGGTCCCACCCCCTCCACTGTAGTGGTCGGTAGCACAGATCCATATTGCCCTCACAGGAAGGAAGGAGCCAAGACGTGCAAAGGGGAACACCCTGCTCCACACGCTGTGTTTGCTATGGGCTTGACTATTGACTTCAGGGGCCTTATCACTGAGCCCTCAGATTGGGCTGGGCAGGGCGGGCCTGAGAGTAGGGAGATTCTACCCCACTGCCCTGTGCGAGAGACAAAAGGAGGAAGCAAGAAAGGTCACAGCAGAATGAAGAAGCTGCTGCAGGTGGACCCACAATGAAAACACTCATTCTTTTACTCCTGGTGTTCCTGGATCTGGGACAGGCCCAAGGTCCATTTCACAGGTGAGGTCTTGTCTCCAGTACCATGTTCTTCTGGGGCCAAGCTCAGGGCTGCCCTGGGAGAGGAAAGCTGGTGGGGACATTAGAAGGAATTGAGGATTATTGTATGAATCCATAGAAAAGCAAGTGGCCAACTTGTCTAGAGTGATTAGTGTTGTTGTTATTGTTGAATGCCGTTGAGTTGATTCCAACCCATAGTGACCCTGATTGGGTTTCTGACCACCGGACTTGCAGTTCAAACGGCTTTGCAGTCTGGCACATTAGCCCACAGCACCACACCAGGACTATGGTGATTGAACCACACCAAGACTGTAATCACTAGTCTATGACAAGTCACCCTATCTCCTCTCCCCACCCCCACCCCCATTTCTAATGTAGTGCCTGCTCAAGTCCCTGGGAGCTTCTCATTTTGATAAAAAGAAGGAAATTGCTGTTGTGTTTTATGGCTCAAAGCACCCAAGTATGTCTTGAAGGGACTGACCATCACTGCCCCCAAGAACTTTTCTGTCCCTTTATATTACAGCGAGTTGGCCAGCCTTTATGTGGGTTCAAACAAAGCTACTGAGCATACCATCCCCCAAGGTCCTTGGTGTTTTGGTGGTGGTTTCATGGTGACCCCAGGCATTACAGTGTAGAATTGCTCCATACGGCTGTCTTGGCTGTAATCTTAGCAGAGGGTAATCCCTGGTGGCACAAGTAGTTAAATAATACACTAAGAGCTGTAGCGTAGTGGTTACGAATCAGGCTGCGAACCGGAAGGTCAGCAGTTCGAAACTACCAGCTGCTCCGCGGGAGAAAGATGAGGCGATCTGCTCCCGTAAAGATTTACAGCCTCGGAAACCCTATTCAGGGTCGCTATGGGTCGAAACTGACTCGACGGCACTTAACAACAACAACAACAAAAGTTTGGTGGTTCAAACCTATCCAGAGGCATCTTGGGATATGGGCCCTGGCCATCTGCTTCTGAAAGTTCACAGTCTTGAAAATTCTATGGAATAACACATGGGGTCATCATGAGTCTGAACCAACTCCATGACAACCGCCACTGCCACCAACAGCAATCTTAGCTGGTACCACTGTTGTTGTTAGGTGTCGTTGAGTCGATTCTGACCCATAGCAACCCTGTATAGGGTTTTCAAGGAGCATTTGGTGAGCTTGAACTGCCGGCCTTGCAGTTCAAATGGCTTTGCAGTCTGGCACATTAACCCGCAGTGCCAAACCAGGACTCCTGGTACCACTAGGTGGGTTCAAATGAACAACCTTCAGATTAACAGTCAGCACAACCCATTTGTGCTACCTAGAACCTTCCTGTTGTCCTTGTTGTTGTTATTAAGTGCTATCTAGTTGGTTCTGACTCATAGCAAACCTGCATAAGGTTTTTAAGGAGTGAATGGTGAGCTTGAACTGCTGACTTTGCGGTTCAAAGCCATCTTGCAGTCCAGTGCAATAACCTACAATGCCAGGACTCCTCTCGTTGTCATAGAGGATCTTAAAGAGTCTATCTCCAGGAGGGAGGCCAATTTCAGTACTAAGAGTCTGCGGGGGCAGCTCTAGTATGCTGCTTCCCAGATCTTTTGTGGAGAGATGGGGTTGGAAATGAGGGTTCCACTCTTCACATGGTCTTTGTCCTCAGGGTGCCCCTTAGGCGACACCAGTCCCTCCGGAAGAAGCTGCGAGCACGGGGCCAGCTCGCTGAGTTCTGGAAATCCCAGAATTTGGACATGATCCAGTTTACCGAGACCTGCACGAGGGACCAGAATGCCAACGAGCCCCTCATCAACTACCTGGATGTGAGGACCCTGCGGATGGGGTGGTGGTGGGTGGGTGGTGGGACTTCCAAGTGATTGGGAGAGTAGAGTGGCTCAGTCTTAGGGCATGACTAGTGTCCAGATTAATAGACAATGTTATCAACCTTTGAGGCCATCCTCTGAGTCCCTATGGACTCTACCATGAGTTGGCTGAGCAGGACTGAACTTGTTCCACATGGGTAGAGTTGTCTGCAAGAGGAAAGGAATGAGAAGGACAAACATTCCAAACTGAAGGACTCTGCTTTAAACTTTCAGCTGGGCAACATACTAGCTGTGTGTCATTAGGAAAAATATATAACCTCTCCCAATCCTAGTTCCTGATCTGTAAATGGAAATGTTACTGTCTCCTCTATGTCTGCAATACTAGTATGAGGATCAGGATTGCTGTTGTTGTTGTTAAGTGCCGTCAAGTCAATTCTGACCCATAGCTATTCTATATAGGGTTTCCAAGGAGCTTGAATCGCCGACCTTGCAAACTGATTTTGCAGTCCAGCGCTTTCACCCAAAGCGCCACACTGGGACTCCGAGAATCAGGATCATGTTAAGTAAAAGTAGAAGTAGCCAGGGGCATAATTTGATTTTTAAAAATTTCCCAGCCTCCGCTCTGTAAAGTCTAGTCTATGAGATTTCTCCCTTGGTCCCCATTGAGCACCCATACTCCTTCCTGCCACTCACACCCAGACTCCTCCCTTCTCTCCCTCCTTGTAGATGGAATACTTTGGCACCATCTCCATCGGCTCTCCACCACAGAACTTCACCGTCATCTTCGACACAGGCTCCTCCAATCTCTGGGTGCCCTCTGTGTACTGTACCAGCAGGGCCTGTGGTAAGGAAAACCAGAAGCCCCTTCATGGAATGATTGGGATCAGGCCTGGGAGGGCAGGACCTAGCACACAGGAGGATGGGGCCTGGGTTCCAGAAACTGATCATCCCTGCCACAATAGCTTCCCCGCTCCATCCTTGATTCTGCACTGGGATTGCCTACAGCACCATCAGAATTGGGTCAATGAGGAAACTAAAATGTGGCTGCTCCCCAGACTAGCAAATTCTATACTGATCAGACTTAAAGGGGACAGTCTCAGTTGCTGAAAGTAGACACTTTTGAATACATGATTACTCACTCCCTTTGAAACTCCTGAAAGATTAAGGAGGACAGTTCCATTGAAATGGTTATTTCTGGGAGGCAGGAGGCTTGGTTCCTAGTGCAGAGTGTTCACGTACTTCAAGGAGGCTTGTAGTCTACCTCCCGGTACCTCAGAGGTGGGGCTGGTCCCATAATAACATGGAGGGATCTATTTGGCCAGAGGTAGCTCAGGGGTCTTGGTGAGAACTGGAAAAGGAAGCACTAAAGAACCATAGCTTGATCTGTGCATGACAAATTGCAGAGGTAGAATGTCTTAGGAAACTCCATGGTGAGCAGTTGGGAGCAACTTCCTGGAATGGCCATTGCTTATCCTGTTGAAGGCCAGGCTGTGACCCACACTGGCTGGCAGAGATTGCTGCTGGCAGCTGATTTGGGGTACTTATCTCAGTGTTCCTGGTGAGATCACTGTGAGCAATTACATTGCCCAGGGACAGCTATTTTGATCCTACCTGTGGCTAGACTGTAATTTAATTTCTTAATTTCTTATTGCTGTTGTAGCAGAAATAACACCAGTGGGTACCTTTCAACAACTGGCCTTTATTGTCTCACAATTCAGGAGACTTGATACTGTTGTTATTACGTGACATGGAGTCAGTTCTGACTCATAGTGACCCTTTATAGAGTTTCTGAGGAGTGGCTGGTGAGTTTGAACCACCAAACTTGTAGTTCAAACTGACCTTGCAATTCAGTGCTTACCCTATAGTGCCACCCCAAAAATCCATTCAGGAGACTAGAAGTCCTAATTCAGGACACTTGCTATTGGGAAGGTTCTCACTCTGTGGGCTTTGGGATCTTTCACCTCTTGTCTCTTTCACCTTCTGTAGGCCTGGTGTTTCTTGGCAATCTTCCCCAGTTTCTGCTTCCTGTTGCATCTAATCTGCTCTTTTCATAACTCAGAAGTGATTAGGTTTAGGACACACCCTACTCATTAACACAACAAAGAAAACTCTAAATGGGATTACATTCACAGGTTTAGGGAGTAGGATTCCAACATGTGCATGGGGGTGCATCGTTCAATCCATAAAATTATGTAGTACAAGGGGTCCTGCTAGTGTGGTGGATTATGAGTTGGGCTGCTAACCGCAAGGTCAGTAGTTTAAATCTATCAGCCACTCATCAGAAGAAAGATGAGGCTTTCTGCTTCTGTAAAGATATACAGCCTCAGAAACCCTATAAAGAGTTGCTATGAGTCAGAACCGACTTGGTGGCACACAACCGTCACCACCATAATGTAGTACCCACTAGGGAAGCCTATGGCAGGTCTTTCCAGAGTCTCTCACTCAATATTGGGAGTTGAAGAGACAGACCCTGCATCTGAGGGACTGAGTGGCATTGAAGCAGGGATAAAGACAGTGACTTGATGGCCTAAGCAAACAGAGCACCCTTGCTTTCCAGAAACTCACCCCAGGTTCCACCCTTCCCAGTCCAGCACATACAGCGAGCTGGGACGTCCTTTCTCCATTCAGTATGGCACAGGGAGCCTGACTGGAATCATCGGAGCCGATCAAGTCTCTGTGAGTGCAAGTCCTTCAATTTATCTCTCATGACCAGAAGCTTGGGGGTCAGACCACAGTTCAGAGCTCTGAGGGGAGCTATTTCAGGTACACCACAGAAAGAGGACACAATGGGAAATCAATGTTTGAGGGGTGGAACTTGCTTCTAGGAAATGGAAAGCCTGACTAGACTGGAGAAACAGCATTTGCAGTCTGAGATGGCAGCAGTCTGTCAGTCTGCTCAGTACCCAGATCCAAAAAGGCAACTTGGGGGCAGGGGGAAATTGCTACAGGAAAAGAGGGCAGAAAGCCAGTGGTAAGATTCACAGTTGGCCCTCCAGTCCCAGGAGCACTGAGAGGGTAAGACCAGGCCTCCACCTTGAAGGATAAAGATGGAATCCAGGTGAGGACTTACAATGTGTAAGGTGGGAGTGAAATTACACAGATCAGCACTGAATGTGGTACTGACTCATAGCAACCCTATAGGAAGAATTGTTGTTGTAGATGCTGTTAAGTGCTGGTTCCAACTCATAGCCACCCTATATAGGGATTCTGAGGAGCCGGCTGGCAGGTTTGAACTGCTGACCTTGAGGTTAACAATCCAGTTCTTAGCCTACAGTGCCAATCCCAGGAGGATTTCCAAAGATGTAATCTTTATGTTAGCAGATTTCCACATCTTTCTCCCATAATGAAAACGTTAGCTACAGCAATAAGCCAATTAAAAAATAATACATAAGGACATTAAGACACAAATGGCCATCACTATCTATATATGATAGAATCCTTGTGTAGCGCTGTGGGTTAATGCTCTAGACTGCAAAGTTGGTTTGAACTGCAAGGTTGGTGGTTCAAGCTCACCAGCTGCTCCTTGAAAACCCAATACAGGGTCGCTATGGGTCAGAACTGACTTGAAGGTACTTAACAACAACATCCAATACGATAGGATTCTTTGTGTAGAAATCAAAAAATGTCTGCAGATGGAGTAATAGGATCAATAAGTGACTTTAGCAAAGTTACTTGGTATTAGGTCAATATTTAGAATCATTTCGATTTTTATATAGCAGCGAAGACAAATAAAAAATACGTTTTTAAGGAGTCCTAGTATGTTCAAACAGAACATGGGAACACTGAATGTTTTAAAATTAAGAAAGGTGTGCGACAAGCTCGTATTTTTTCACCATACTTATTCAACCTGTATGCTGAACAAATCATCTGAGAAGCTGGGTTCTATAAAGAAAAAAGTGGCATCAGGATTGGAGGAAGACTCATTAACAACCTGTGATCTGCAGACGATACAACCTTGCTTGCTGAAAGTGAAGAGGACTTAAAACATTTACTGATGAAGATCAAAGAGCACAGCCTTTGGTATGGATTACATCTCAATGTCAAGAAAACAAAAATCCTCACCACTGGACCAATAAACAACATTATCAATGGAGAAAAGATTGAAGTTGTCAAGGACTTCATTCTTCTTGGATCAACTATCAACACTCACGGAAGCAGCAGTCAAGAGATCAAAGGACGTTTGCATTAAGCAAATCTGCTGCACAAGACCTTTTTAAAGTGTTGAAGAGCAAAGATGTCAGCTTGAAGACTAAGGTGCGCCTGACCCAAGCCATGGTATGTGAAAGCTGGACAGTGAATAAAGTAAACCGTAGAAGAATTGATGCCTTTGAGTTATGGTGTTGGAGGAGAATATTGAAAGTGCCATGGGCTGCCAAAAGAACCAATAGATCCATTTTGGAAGAAGTTCAGCCAGAGTGCTCCTTAGAGACCAAGATGACCAAACTTCGTCTCTCATACTTTGGACATATTGTCAGGAGGGAGCAGTCACTGGAGAAAGATACCATGTTTAGTAAGGTGGAGGGTCAGAGGAAAAGAGGAAGACCCCCAATTAGATGGATTGCCCAGGTGGCAGCATCGATGGACTTAAGCATGGCAATAATAGTGAGGTTGGCCCAGGATCAGGCAGTGTTTCGTTCTTCTGTGCATAAGGTCGCTATGGGTTGGTACCGACTCGATGGCACCTAACAACAACAACAAGGGTGGGGCTGTGGGTTAATGTGCCAGACTGCAAAAGCCATTTGAACTGCAAGGTTGGCAGTTCCAGCTCACCACTCACTCCTCGGAAACCTTATAAAGGGTTGCTATGAGCCGGAATCGACTTGATGGCACTCAACAACAACAGAATAGCATTAAAAAATTCAAATACCTAAAAGTAAAGTTAACAAAAAATGTGTAAGAACTCTACTTTAAAAAGTACAAAACATTATTGAATAAAATTAAAGAAGATATATGTAAATTAAAAGATAAACTACACTCATGAGTTGCAAGTATCTAGTATTACAAAGAATCCAAATTTCTTCAAATTGGTCAGTAGATTTAGTGTTACCCAAAGAAAACAAGAACTAGTTCTTAAAGAAATTGACAAGCTAATTCTAAAATCTATATGGATATGTGATGCACCAAGAATAAGACAATCCTGATGAAGAACACTGCCAAATATAAATATTTATTTATAAAAGCATAATAATTTAGACAGTGTAATACTGGCACAAGTGTAGGCAGAATCGCAAGTGGAACCAAATAGAAAATTTGACAACATCCCACATAGTTATCCGACTTATGTTGAATATGATATTTCAGTGCAGTGGAAAAAAATGACAGCATTTTTTATTAAATGATTCTAAGTCAATTGGATAGCCATACAGTATAAAATAAATCTTGAGTTCTGCTTCACACATTATTAAACTTCATATAAATTGCAGATATAAATGTCAAAAAATGAAACAATAAAGCTTTTAGGAGAAAGCACCGGAAAATATCTTCAGGACTGGCTTTGTTATCTAGTGCTACTGCTGTTGTTGTTAGGAGCTTCACAGCACAGAGACCCCAGGTCTGAAGAATGCACTCTCTTCCCTTGGTGGTAGCATGTTCTCTCTCCATTTATCTCTTGTAAATGAAAGGTGATGCAGACCACACTTCAGGGAAATTCCCCTTATATTAGATTAGGGCTGTGATGACATTAAGAGTATGGAAACCCACCCTTAATCCTCTTAGTAGTTTATCACCTCAGATCACATCATAGGGGATCATCACATAACTACCATATTACATCATTACATGCCTGCTGAACCACTGATCATCATGGTCCAGCCAAGCTGACTCATGTTTGGGGAGCTGGGCAATTCAATCCATGACAATGACCTTAAGGTAGGTAAAAAAATTTTGAAACAAATCACAAAATCACAAATCATAAGGAGAAAAAAAAAACCCTGTGTATATAGGGTTTCTGAGGAGCAGCTGGTGAGCTTGAACACTGACCTTGTGATTCAAACCGACTTTGTAGTCTAGAGCATTAAACCACAGTGCCACATTAGGACTCCTAAAGATTCCATTAAAAGAATAAAAATATCAGTCACAGAAGGTATTTGTAATGTATAAATATAACTTGATTCCAGAATAAATAAAGAACTTTCACAAATCATTAAGAAAAATACAGACAATCCGCTTCACAAAAGAGGACAGCCAAATATCTATGCTCCTTAGTCATCAGGAAACACAAATTAAAACTACAGTGTAACCTACTGCATACTTACTATAATGACTACAATGGGAAAGATAGGTAATTCCAAGTGTTGGTGAAGATATGGAACAACTGGAAGTCTCAAAACATTGAGTTGGAACCACCTGTATGGTATCCAACAACAACATCTAAAACAACAACTCAAGTTAATCACTTGCATGCAATATGATCTAACAATTTCACTCCTAGGTATGTATCCAGCAGAAATATGCACATTATGTTCACTAAAAGAAGTACAAGGAACACAATTAGCAATAGTCAAATACAGTAAACAGACCAAATATCCATTAACTGTAGGATAGATATGCATACAATGATAGATTAGATCATGAAATACTAATGATAGTTAATTATAATAGCATGCAATAAGCATGATGATGAGTTCAATGTGCATTTTTCTATTTACATAAAATTGATAAATAGGAAAAGCTAAGGCATAATCTTTGAATTCAGAAGACTGGGTATTCTTAAGATGGGATGCAATGACTGGACGAACATAAGAAAGGCCTTCTGGGTTTTGTAATGTCCTGTTTCTTGACTTTGAAGCTGATTACATGGATGTGTACAATCTGTGAAAATTCATTGAACTGTACAATTCTGATTTCAGTGTGTATATAATACTTTAGTTAATGAGTTTATGGAGTCCTGGTGTGATGCTATGGGCTAATGCGCTGGACTGCAAAGTCGGTTTGAACCTTAAGGTCAGTGGTTCAAACTCACCAGCTGCTCCTTGAAAACCCTATACACAATTGCTCTGGGTTGGGACCAACTTGATGGCACTTAACAACAACAAGTAAGTTTATATTTTAAAAAATCATAATAGGTGAGAATATGTCTAAAACCTCCTAGCCCATTTAATACTGACAAATGGAAAGGGGTAAGAATTAGATTTAGGGCAGAAGGAGAGCTCAGGAATCCTAGACCCTTTCCCAACAATTTTCCCATGGCTTTCTCCTATCAGGTGGAAGGACTGACAGTGGTCAATCAGCAGTTTGGAGAGAGCATCAAGGAGCCAGGCCAGACTTTCGTGGATGCAGAGTTTGATGGAATTCTCGGTCTGGGATACCCCTCCTTGGCTGTTGGAGAAGTGACCCCAGTGTTTGACAATATGATGGCCCAGAACCTGGTGGATATACCAGTGTTTTCTGTCTATATGAGCAGGTAAGGACTGCCAAGCCTGCTAGGTTAGGGTCAGTTATTACCACAGGAAAACAACATGGTGCAGCTGAAAGAGCACTCGATTTAGCAGTCAGAGGATCGGGGTGGGGTTCTTGCTTGACCTTTTACTATGTGACTTTACCTCCCTGAATATTGAAGAAATAGAGATTTTCCTAAGAGAGTTGATGTGGAAAGCTCTTTGTAAACTGCACAACACTGAGCTAATTTAAGAACTCTCTAGGATTATTCATTTATTCAGTCAATAAGAAGTGATCAAGCTCCATTGTGTGCCATACACCATGCTAGGCAGGCACTAGAACTACAAGAAACTAAGAAAGACTTTGTCACTGCCTTCAAGAAGCTTCATTTCTGTGCAGAGAAACAGAAAAAAAGTTAAGGGTAGCATAACAACATGTGTGTTTTATAACAAAGTGATGGAATGGGAGAATCATTTTAAAGCCTTATATCTAAAAATTGTTTAATGTCCAGAATATATAAAGACCTTCTATAATTCAACAACAAAAACAAACAACCCCATCCAAAAAATGGGCAAAGTTTTTGAATAGATATTTCACAAGGAAGACCTACAGATGTCCAACAAACACATGAAAAGATGCTCAACATCTTTAGTCCCTAAAAATCAAAACCCAAACCACTGCCAACAAGTCAATTCCAACTTGTAGCAACCCTACACAGGGTTTCCAAAACTGTGAACCTTTATGGGAGCAGACAGCCTCATCATTCTCCCGCGGAGTAGCTAATGGGTTTGAACTGCCAATCTCTGGGTTAAAACAGTTAGTTGCCCAATACTTAACCCACAAGGGCTCCTTGTTGTTTATTGTTGTTAAATGCTGTTGAGTTGGTTCCAACTCATAACGACCTGTATAGGGTTCTTGAAGGAGTGACTGGTGTGTTTGAACTGCCGACCTTGTGGTTCAAACTGACTTTGTAGTCCAGTGCTTATCCAACAGCGGAATACCAGGGCTCTTAGGGAGATGAAAATCAAAACCACAATGAGATTTCACCTCACCTGTACTAAAACTGTTCCCACTGAATCAATTCTGACTCATGGCATGAACCCACATGTGTCTGAGGAGAATTGTGTTCCATAAATATTTTCAATATCTGATACTTTGCCAATTACTCCCCAGTAACAGGATGGACTGGAATTTTCAACGTTTTGGTTATTAGGCAAGTGCATTAGCTGTTAGCACCCAGGGATTCCAACCCCTACTAGGATGGCTATTATCAGAAAAACTGAAAGCAGTAAGTGTTGGTAAGGATGTGGAGAAACTAACCCTAATCCATTGTTGGTGGCAAAGTAAAATGGTGCAGTTGCTTTGGAAAACAGTTTGATGGTTCTTCAAAAAGCTAAGCACTGAATTATCATATGACTCAGCAATTCCACTCCTATGTATGTACCCAAAAGATTGAAAACAGGGACTTAAACAGATATCTGCATACCAATATTAACTGCAGCACTATTCATAATAGCCATGTTAGAAACAATCCAATTGTCCATTAACAAATGAATTAATGAGCACAATGTGACATACACATACAATGGAATACTTTCAGCCATAAAAATAAATGAAGTTCAGATGTTGTTAAGTGCCATTGGTTGAGTCCATTCCGACTGGTTAGCTTGAGCTGCTGACCTTGCAATTCAAACTGACCTTGCAGTCCAGTGCATTAACCCACAGTGCCACACCAGATACATGCCACAAAATTGATGAACCTTTAAAACATTAACCTGGGCAGAATAAAACAGCTACAAAAGGAGAAGTATTGTATAATCCTACTTACATAAAATATCGAGAATCTGTAACTGCACAGAGACCAAAGTTTAATAGTGGTTACCAAGGATGGGACCTGCATGTTGCTATAATGTTGGAAGCGATGTCACCAGAATTTCAAATACAAGCAGGGTCATTTATGAGGGACAGGTTTCAGCAGAACTGCCAGACTAAGAAAGTCTAAGAAAAAGGACTTGGCAATCTATTTTAGAAATAATAATAATAATCAGTGGACATGTTATGGATAGCTGCAGAACCTTCTGTGATCTAGTGTCCCTCTGGTTGCAAGCCACTTAAAATATAACTGGGGAAGAGCTGCCTCCACAAAGTTGAGTCAAGCTTAATGATGTGGATGGACTAAAACTTTCAGGACCTACATTCTTCATCGTGACATAACTCAAAATGAGAAGAAACACCTGTAAATATTAATTAGAAATCAGACTGTAGGAAGTATGACTAAAGAAAAATCAGAAGTTGTCAAAGATGAAATGAAATGCTTCAAGATATGCATCCTAGGCATTAGTGAGCTGAAATGGACTAGTATGAGATATTTTGAATTGGACAATCATGTGCTCTACTATGCTTGGAAAAACAAATTGAAGAAGAATGCTGTTTCATTTATTGTCAAAAAGAACATTTCAGGGTCTATCCTGAAATGCAATGTTATCAGTGATTGGATGACATCCATATGTCTACAAGAAGACCCACCGCTTGTCTGACATGTTGTCATTATAATGCCATTATAATGGCTTGCATGCCATGTGATGCTAGAAGCTATGCCACTGGTGTTCCATATATCAATATGGTCACCAATGGTGACAGATTTCAGTAGAGCTTCCAGAGCAATACATACTAGACAGAAGGACCTTGAGATCCACTTCTGAAAAACTTGACCATTGAAGGCTTCATGAACAGTACTGTAACACTGTCTGCTATAGTGCCAGATGATAAGCTCCCCAGGCTGGAAGGCACTCAAAATACGACTAGGGAAGAGCAGACTCCTCAAAGTAGAGTTGACCTCAATGACTTGGATGGAGCAAAGCTTTGGGGACCTTCATCTGCTGATATGGCACAATTGAAAATTAGAGTAAAAAGCTGCAAACATCCATTAATAATCAGATTGTGGAAGATATGAAGAATTAATAGGAAAATTTGAAGTCATCAAAAGTAAAATACAACTTATAAAGATCAATATCCTAGACATTAGTGAGCTGAAGTGGACTGGTGTTAGCCATTTTGAATCAGACAATCATGTGGTCTACTATGCCAGGAATGACACATTGAAGAGGAATGCATCACATTCATTATTAAAAAGAACATTTTCAAGATCTGTCCTGAAGTACAACCCTGTCAATTACAGGAATCTATATACATCTACAAGGGAGCTCTGGTAGTATAGTGGTTATGAATCGGGCTGCAAACCGCAAAGTCAGCAGTTCGAAACTACCAGCTGTTATGTGGGAGAAAGATGAGGTTTTCTGCTTCCGTAAAGATTTACAGCCTCAGAAACCCTGTACAGGTTTGCTATGAGTCAGAACCGACTCCACAGCACATAACAACAACAACATACACCTACAAGGAAACCAGTTAATATTATTATTTAAATTTCTACATCAACCAAATAATGCCAAAGATGAAGAAATTGAAGATTTTTTATCAACTTCTTCAGTCTGAAATTGATCCAACATGCAATCAAGATTCATTGATAATTGCTGGTGGTTGGAAATAGAGTAGGATCAGCAGTTGGAAAATGGCCTTGGTGATAGGAATGGCACCAGAGATCACACGATAAAATTTTGTAAGATCAATGATTCGGTCATTGTAAATACCTTTTTTCAACAACACAAACCATGACTATACATTTGGGCATCACCAGATGAAATACATAGGAATCAGATAGACTCCATCTGAGGAAATAGACAATGAAGAAGCATAATGCCATCAGTCAGAACAAAGTCGGGGTTGACTATGGAAACTATCGATTGCTTACATGCAAGTTCAAGTTGAAGCTGAATAAATTAAAACAAGTCCAAATATGACTTGAGTATATCCTACCTGAATTTAAAGACCATTTCAAGAATAGAATTAATGAATTGGACGCTAATGACCAAAGACCAGACAAGTTGAGGAATGATATCAAGAACATCATACATGAAGGAACTAAAAAGTCACTAAAAAGGCGAGAAAGAAAGAAAAGACTAAAATGTACGTCAGAACAGATCTGAACCTTGTGCTAGAACACAGAGAAGCTAAAACAAAAGGAAGAGATAATTACATAAACTAGCTGAACAGAAGATTTCACAGGGCAGCTCAAAATGACAAAGTATTATAACGAAATGTGTAAAGACTTGGAGTTAGAAAACTAAAAGGGTTGAACATGTTTAGCATTTATCAAACTGAAGAAAAAAATTTCAAGCCTCAACTTGCAATACTGAAGGTTTCTGTGAGTAAAATATTGAATAACACCAGAAGCATCAAAAGCAGATGAAAGGAATATACAGAATCACCGTATGAGAAATAATTGGGTGACAATCATTTAAGGAGGCAGAGTGTGATCAAGAACTGAAGGTATCAAAGGAAGGAGTCCAAACTATACTGAAGGCACTGGTGAAAAATAAGGATCCAAGAATTGATGGATTACCAACTGAAATATTTTAACAAATGATGTAGTGCTAGAAGTGCTAATTCTTCCATTCTAAGAAATTTGAAAGACAGCTGACCAGAGGACTGAAAGAGATCAATATTCATGTCCATACCAAAGAAAGGTGATTCAACAAAATGGGGATATTATCAAATTAATATCACACTCAAGACATTTTTTGCTGAAGATAATTTAAAAACACTTGCAGTAATACATTGACAGGAAATACCAGAAATTTAAGTCAGAATCAGAAAAGGACATGGAAAGAGGAATATTATTGCTGATATCAGATGGATTGTGGCTAAAAGCAGAAAATACTAGAAAGATATTTGTCTGTGTTTTACTGACTTTGCAAAGGCATACTACTTTGTGGATCATAACAAATTGTGGATAACATTGGGAAGAATAGGAATTCTAGAACACTTACGTGCTCATGAGGAATCTATACATAGATGAAGAGGATTCAAACAGGACAAGGGAATACTACACAGTTCAAAACGTTGTATTCTTTCACCATACTTATTCAATCTATATGCTAAGGAAATAATCTGAGAAACCAGACCATATGAAGAAGAACACAGTATCAGGATTGGAGGAAGATTCATTAATAACTAGCCACATATAGATGGCACAACCTTGGTTGCTGAAAGTGAAGAGGACCTGAAACCTTTATTAATGAAAATCAAAGACTATAGCTTTCAGTATGGATTGTTGTTAAATGTCCCCGAGTCAATAACGACTCATAGTGACCTTTTGAACAACACAACAAAACACTGCCTGGTCCTCCTCCATCGTCACAATCATTGTTAAGCTTTAGCCCATTGCTGCTGACCCTGTGCCATTCCTCCTCTTTGGGGCTCTTCCTGTTTTTTGCTTACCCTTCACTTTACCTAGCATGATGTCCTTCTCTAGGGACTGGCTCCTCCTGACAATATATCCAAAATATGAGAGACAAAGTCTTGCTATGCTGGTTTCCAAAGAGTATTTTTTCCAACACAGATTTGCTTCTTCTTCTAGCAGTCCATGACACTTTTAATATGCCTCTCCAACACAATAATTCAAATGCATCAATTCTTCAGTATAGATATACCTCAACATAAAGACAACAAATATCCTAACAACTGCACCAATAAACAGCATTATGATAAACTGAAAAAAAAAATTGAAGTTGTCAAAGATTTCATTTAATTTGGATTCACCAATGGAAATTAAGTGTTGTTGAGTTGGTTTGATGCACAGTGACCCGGTATAGGGTTTCCAAAGAGTGGCTAGTGAGTTTGAATCATCAACTTTGTGATTCAAACAACCTTGCAGTCCAGTGCTTATCCTGGACTGCATAAAGAAATAAAATTATGTACTGCATTAGGCAAATCTGCTATAAAAGAGTAAAAAGGTTAAAATATCACCTTGAGTGCATCTTACCCAAGTCCTAGCATTTTCGATTGTCTTATGGGCATGTGACAAATGGATAATGAATAAAGAAAGTGAAGAAAAACGGATACATTTGAATTATGATACTGGTGAAGAATGTACCATCCACTGTCTGAAGAATTAGCACATATGTCTTGAATGAAGTACAACCAGAATGCTCCTTAGAAGCAAGAATGGTGAGACTTCATATTTTGGCCATGTCATCAAGAGGGACCAGTCCCTGGAGAAGGTCACCATGCTTGGTAAACTAGAGGTTCAGCAAAAAAGAGGAAGACCCCCAATGGGATGGAATAACACAGTGGCAGCAACAATGGACTCAAAGATAACTACTGTTAGGGTGGCACAGGACCAGGCAGTGCTTCATTCTGTTGTACATGGGGACCATTCAAATGATTGTTTTCTAAACATCCACAGGACAACAGCACTGGCTAGACACTTTTAGAGCAGTTTTTCTTCTTAAAAAAAAAAAAAAAAAAGGTTGTGTATGAATGGATTGGAGGGCACCTGACAACAGCAACAACTTGGAATGGGGGTGAGGATGGTGAGTGGGGAGGGTCAGAAAAAACATTAGTCGCTGTTTAAGAAGCTCTTGAGTTTCTGTTAAAGGTCATGTAAAACTTTGGGAAAGGATACTGGTGATGGTTGCACAACATTATCAGTTTCTCTGAATTGTACACATAAAGTTATAACCCAATTGCCTTGTTATGTATATTTTTACCACATTGTAGTTGAAAAGGTCTTGAGACTGACCTGCCTCTAGGCACGTTTGCCTGGAGCCCTGGGAAGGCCATCTGATCCACCCTACTTATGTTTCTCAGGAAATCCTGCCCAGTCAGACCAGTATAAAGCCATTCCCTTGTTTCCCTTTCCTTCATTTTTTGTCTCTAACTGTGTTTCTCTCCAACTTGGCTGCAACTGGGACAGGTCCTGGGCAGAACCGTGAGCAAGGAGGGAGGAGGGGAAGCAGGTTATCTGGATACCTCGACTTCCCCCTTTGGAACTCCCTGCTCCCTGTTAGCTAAGGAAGAAGCACTCAGTGGTGGGAAATGGAAAGTGCTTTGTACTCATACAGACCTAGATTTAAATCTTACAGTTTAGTTTACATCATCTCTTATGTCATCTCTCTGATTCTCAGTTTCCTCTAAGCTGGTGTGAAAATTTGTTAAGACTCTCAACTCACTGCCATTGAGACAATTCAGACGCATAGTTTATAGTATAATGCCTTGCACACAATCAGTTCTTTTTTCCCCTTTATGACCCTGCCTATAGAAGTCCTGGTGCTGTGGGCTAATGTATACTGGGCTGCAAAGTCGGTTTGAACCTCAATGTCAGTGGTTCAAGCTCACCAGCCACTCTGGTAACTCTCTACAGGGTTACTATAGGTGAGAACCGACTTGAGGTGCTTAACAACAACCCTGCCTATGAGAGCATGCTGGCTCCATAAGATAAGTACTGGACTGTGAACCACGAGATCTGTGGTTCAAACCCTCCAGCCAGTTCGAGGGAGAATAATGATGCTTTCTGTTCCAGCGAAGACTTTTTTTTTAAGCCTCACAAAGCCTATACAGGGTCACTATGAGCAGGAACCGACTCTATGGCACTTAGCAACAAGAACAACAACCCTGCCTATAGCACCCTAAGTCCTGTATTGTTCTGATCTTTTTCCTCCTTAAAAAGAATCTACCTTCTGTCCTGTCTCCCTAGGAACTTGCTAGATACCAGGACATAATCTAAGAAATCAATACCATTAAACATAGCAAAAATTCATCAGTAGTCAAGCTCTTATAAATCACATTTGCATTCAATTTTACTTCTTTGCATTAACACAAAGGTGTGAACAATATGGAAGCTCCAGGCACTACCAGCGCCATAATGGGGAAGATATTTTGAGATGAGGTATCTTTAGGGGTGTCTCAAATCATAGTGTGTGTCCACAAAGCTGGGACAATACTGGTGTGGGTTCTTCATGAATTCTGCCAAGCCCTGTTGTCTTCATTCCTATATCATTAGTCCTTTCATCCCAGAAGCTGGGAGACACTAACAAATATGTAAGTGATGTTCTTTCTACCCTTATGTCAAAATCAACTGCCGAAGTTGGAAACCCTAATCTCAAAACCCAGGCTCAAATTTCTGCCCCTCTTGGTGCTTGATGTGAGTGACAAGATCAAGAAACAAAGTGTCCAAACTGAGGTTCACCCCTGGAGCTTTCCAGTGATACCACTTTTTTTTTTTTTTTAAGTTTTTATTGTGAATGATGTGATAGTTTACATGGAAGAACATCAGCTTTACATTTCATCCTATCATATATATCATTTCATTGCAATGATTACAATCCCCTCCATGCATCATCAAACATCCAAATTATACACCCCACAAGCCTGCACCCCAGCCATCAGCACACAGCCCCTCTCCCACCCTGAGTCCAGAGTCCCCAGCTGCTCCATCTCTCCGCGACAATGACACCTCTTCTTGACAACCTGCCTTTTTTTTCCACTTAGTGACCCAGCAGGGGGCGCAGGAAGTGAGCTCATTTTCGGAGGCTATGATCACTCCCATTTCTCTGGGAGCTTGAATTGGGTTCCAGTCACCAAGCAAGCTTACTGGCAGATTGCATTGGACAAGTGAGTATCCTCCACAAGGTGGTCACGGTACAAAGGAAGAACTCATAGGAGGTACAGACTAAACGAATTGAACAGACCTGAATAGAACTGTGATTTCAAGGAGAGATTGGAGACAACACTCATCCTGAGGCCAGAGGTTATAGAGAGACTGAGCAAAGGTGCAGTCACCAAGCACACAGCACCAACACTCAGCTTCCTTGTACATGTGTACCTCCAAACAAACAAGCAGCATATTACTCTCTGCTTATCCATTCATTCAATATTAATTAAGCACACAAGACAAGGTCTGAGTGAAAAGGAGAATTGGACTCAGATTTTGCTCTCACAAAGCTTTTGTAGAAGATGAGACAGTCACACAGATCACAACCATGTAGGACCTAAAGGGGCCAGTCAGTGCTCCAGGAAAGGGGCCCTCAGAGCGTACCAGCAGACAAGCCACGACATTGTCTATCTGAAGAACCCCACAGAGCTTCATGGAAGTGGTGACATTGACACTCACCTTGACACATATGCAATAGATCTGGGCACGGAGTAACTGGAGAAGTAAGACCAGATGCTTGCCACATACCTCACACTGTGCTTGACAATGCAGGAAGATCTAGTATGTTTTGATTCACCCAAGTATACATTGCTACAAGGTACAAGGTGTCAGTCATGAGCTAGCCACTAAGGATGCAAAAGTAAAACAAGTCTCAGTGCTCACTGTCTAGTTTCATTTTTCAGAGTGCAGGGATTTACCCATTAGTTAGGTATGGCATAATTTTAAGAGATCATGATCTGTATTTTTAAATAAAATGGAAACAACTCATATTTAAGTTAGATACAGTGTCATGAAATGTTTGCTCAAATGTGTGTGTATCTTGGATCAAGAAATAAAGGTATTTCTCACTATGGATCTCGGTTCAAAAACTGAAAAACACTTACCTGGTGGAAGAGATAAAACTGAAAATCATTCATATAGTTCACTGTACTAATGGGACTCCAGCAGAGAGAGAGAGATGCTGGGGAGAAGGGAAGGTTTCTGGGGAGCTAACGATTCCCCTTTTTCCCTCAGCATCCAGGTAGGAGGAAGTGTGATGTTCTGCTCTGAGGGCTGCCAGGCCATTGTGGACACAGGGACCTCCCTCATTACAGGCCCCTCGAACCACATCAAGCAGCTGCAAAAAGCCATCGGGGCACAGCCTGTGGATGGAGAGGTGAGTGCCTGGCTGGCATGCAGAGGGACTGGGAGCAGGAGAATTCGGCCCTCTCTTGGGAGATGCAACACCTCTAAATGGATCCTCTATACTGTGTTTCAGTATGCTGTGGAGTGTGCCAACCTCAATGTCATGCCAGATGTCACCTTCACCATCAACGGTGTCCCCTACACCCTCAGTCCTACTGCCTACACCTTGCTGGTAGGAACTCTTTCCTGATTCTTCCCACATGCCCGCCAACTCCCCTCCTCAAGCAGTGGCCTGCACTCAGGCTACATTTACCCCAAAACCCACTCCCACCTCAGCCTAGTCTGATGTATTTCCTCTAAGAGGAACACAGCTGCTGCTGGTATATAAACCACTCACTGGTTCTGTCCAGTTCTATCATGCAGCAGAGAACTATGGGAAAGCCAAGAAACTATGGGAAACCTCAAAGGAAGTTTCCTGCTGTTGTCATGTAAGACCTCTCCACAGATAAAGTTCAATCCCCTCTACAACCAAGTCAGATTGGAGCAATTGTTGCCCCATTTCATAGATGAGCATATTTAGATTCATAGCGTTAACAATGTGAGTTGTTGGGGATATAGAATAAGATTATATGTCTTCTAACATTCAAATTAACATTCTTCCCAAACAAGAAACAATCTTTGGTTGCAGGAGATGATTAACTAACTTGTAGGAGGGCAACTTGGAAAACTATCTCCTGGCATTTTGGAAAGCTCTGATCACTTAACATCACAGCTGGTCCAGATTCTCAATATTACAGCTCGCTGGCATCATACTTAAGAGTCACCTACAGTATCAGGGTGACTGAAACAGAAGAGAGACATTAGCCCCACCCTTCACATCTTGGTTTTCATTAGCTCCTTCCCAAAACAAAACAAAACCTAGAACCCTAAACTCACTGCCACTGAGTCAATTCTAACCCATAGTGATCATCTGCAAGATCTTTGAGATTGTCAATCTTTATGAGAGCAGACAGTCTCATCTTTCTCAAAAGGAGCTTCTGGTGGATTTGAACTGCTGACCATATGGTTACCAGCCCAACACCTAACCCACAGCACCACCAGGGATCTGTCACCTCTTTCTAAAACCATCCCAAATACAAACAGAAAATTCAAGCAAAAACACAAGTTTTGCTTTAAAGTTCAGCTTCATAAGTTCCTTCAACATAGTAGTTCTGGAGCTGCCACTGTGAACACCAGACCTACAAAGAGCCTCCCTGAGGACAAGCTAGACATTCACATGCAGCCAGATTCACCAGTCTACTACCCACCCATCACCACTCTACCGACTTCCCCACCACCTTCACCCTATGTGAGTCCTGCTCCCTCCATGGCTTCCCTACTCCTTAATTTTCAAATGGTTGTTGAAGAAAACCACACCTGCCTGAGCCTCAAATCTTTGTTTAACAACAACAACAAAAAAGTAAGCATCTTAACAATGCATACCAAAGGGCCATTCAAATGAATGGCCACATCCACAGACAATAGCACTGGCTAGGTACTTTTAGAGCAGTTTTCCTCCTTTAAAAAGTAATAATAATAATAATAATAATAATTAATTGATTTTCATAGAAATCAGTGAGAGCAAGATTTGAACCAAGGTCTTCTAATGCTAAATTTTTGGCTCTTTCAAGTTCACACCAAAGCTTCAGCTTTCCCAATTGTAAAATGGTGGTGTATTGTATATAACAGATGAACCATTCTCAGAGCTGTGGGACTCAGAAGTTTCATGCATGAACTTGTGCAATCACACATTTTATTGAGTAAACTGGAGTAAGGGTGTATAAAGTATGAGGAAGAACCAGCCAGCCCAAATTGTAAACCCAGCTGTCCAGGGTCAATCAAGACCATAGTCACCACTACAAAGGAATGCTTCTAGGCAGCACTACTTCCTTCTTGCTCTGGATGTCACTCACATGGCTCTTTCAAACCTCAGGACTTAGTGGACGGAATGGACTTCTGCAGCAGTGGCTTTCAAGGTCTGGACATCCAGCCTCCAGATGGGCCTCTCTGGATCTTGGGTGATGTCTTCATTAGAAAATTCTACTCAGTCTTTGATCGTGGAAATAACCAAGTGGGACTGGCCCCAGCAGCCCCCTAAGGAGGGGCCTTGTGTCTGTGCTTGCCTGCCTGGAATTTCCTGGAATTCTAACCCAGTCTGTTAGGTTAGGACACCCATCACAGCAGTCAAAAGTCATTATGAACAAGAAAAGGTAAAAACATTCACTGCCTTCTCTTCCCAGGAGACAAGCTAAAATATTGATCAGATTACTGAGTGGGACCAATCCTCTGGTTTCCTGCTTGTCTTCAAACAGGCCTGCAATCTAACCCCATCCCGATTCTGACCCCATATAAGCCTGCACTGCCCTGCATTCGGGCCTCAGAATCTGAAGACGTTAGCTCCTCTGAGCCTGTCATCTTAATAAAATCTGAAATTCTGCTTCACCTGTATGAATGGCCTCAGTTTCTTCGACAACAGATCTGGAGCTGCTGTAACACTCTCGGGTCCAGAGCCGCTGTGACACTCCAGAATCTAAAACTGCTGTTACTATTATGCATACACTATAGTTGCTCCTGAGCTGCAACTTGAATTTGGACCAAATAGAACAGTAGAACACACACACACTCACACACAATATGTATACGTACACACATTTACACATACACACTTCATCCATCATTGTGATGGTGTTGTTGTTGTTGGTGTTATGTGCCATGGAGTCGGTTCCAACTCATAGTGACCTTGTACAGGGTTTCCGAGGCTGTAAATCTTTATGGGAGCAGAAAGCCTCAACTTTCTCCTGTAGAACAGCTGGTAGTTTCGAACTGCTGACCTTGCAGTTCGCAGCCCGATTTGTAACCACTACGCTACCAGAGCTCCTATTTTGCATGGCTTTCTGTTAATTTTGTATTGCAGACGTCGCCAACATAAACACAAGCAAGAATGGCTGCTAGCTGCCTTCTAGTCAGTCCCCAACAGTCAGTCCCCAACTCATGGTGACCCCATGAACAATGGAAAAAAATGCTGCCTAGCACTGCACTATCCCCATGATAGATTCTGATCAGAAAGTTTTGTGGAGATCCCTAGGATCTTTTGATGGATTTTTTTAATCGATTGCCAGGCTTTCTCCCTAGCCTATCATTGAAAGCGCTGGTGAAACCTGTTTAGCATCACAGTAACACACAAGCTTCTACTGATAGGCAGCTGGTAGATTTCAACTCTCAATTACTTTGGATAGAGACACTATGCATACCCAGCAACTCATTTGCTATTTTCCACCACGCTGCTCCCGTCTGTACACCAAATGTCCTTAGGGTCCAAAGTAATTGAGAGTGGAAGTCTACTAGCCGTCTGTCTTTTAGAGCTGATCTGAGAAGGTTAGATTTATACTGGTTTCACATATGCTTTAACTGAACTTCTTCAGCTATGTGGGAGCACATAAGGGTTACTTGGTTTAACACATTGCTTACCATCTGGGTACTCAATTACTAACAGCTGGTATTTCAGAATCTTTCTGTCAGACAGTCACTTGGAAAGTAACAATGTTATTTCATGGGGAATTCTGACCACTCTAGGCTATCCATACCTGAGTTTTTGAGCTTCTTCTACCAACGAGCATTCCCACTACTACCACAACCATGAGGCAATGTGGCCAACCACTCAACACCAAATACAGGTTCTTTGAAAAAATACCCAATGGGCTGGGATTCTCCTTCCAGCTCCTGTACTAAGACCCCAACAGCCACTTTGTCCTTCTCATCTGAGTACAGGGAATTAAGAGTTGATGTGTTATCAATACATTGTTCCAACTGCAAGTTAAAGGTATGGTTTAACTTCTCTTCTGGAGATTACTGTCAATTCCGACTACTTTACAGAATGACTGAGAGAGGGGACCAAATAAATAGCGCCTGGTGTGGTGCTAATGCGTCAGACTGCAAAGTCGTTTGAACTGCAAACGATTCAAGCTCACCAGCTGCTCCTTGGAAACCCTTTACAGGGTCATTATGGGTCAGAATTCACTCAACAGCGCTTAACAACAACAACATGTCAATTATGAATCCAGTAAACTTGCCAGTAATGAACCGAGCAAACTTAACAATGACCCAGGGCTCCTCTGATGGTATCTTGATGGTGTGGGTAGGAGCTGGTTTTGTCCCCAGGTTTCACCACTTCTGGCTCTTATCAGTGGCTAAAAGCGTCCTGTGATCTCCTCAGCATTCCACAGGGAATGCCAGGCAATCACATCCCCAATGACCTAACTTGTTGCATTGGAGGCAGGGCATCCTCAGATGCATGCCCAGCAAAGATGTCTGTATTTGCCACCTTTGAAGTAGTTGCTGTTCATATTCCATCCTAGGTCAAAGGAGGTGGTTCAGGTATTTGCTGCTAGAGCCACCACTAAGAGTTTAGCCTTTTGTCTGTCCCTCCCTGTTACCTCTAGGTCCCTGTTGTTACAGTGTAGTTACTTCTAGCACTTGGGAAGGATTAGTCTGGAGTCCCAAAGGCTAACTTCTGAAATTTCCTGTGAATGTCTGGGCAGAACTTATTTGTGAAAGCAGTGTTTATTACAATCACATCTTCTTGTGAGTTTGGGGCTAAATTAGTAAATTTTGAGATTCTTTCCACTAGGCAGCCTGTGAAGACTACAAGATTTTCATCCTTTCCATGATTGATCCCTGTCACTTTGGAAAATTTTACCAACTTAATTAGAATTTTCTTCATTCTTCCCCGGGAGACAGAATATCATATGAATTCTAGCCACTCCTCCTGCCTGCCCTGGCTGATAGTCCCACTGCGGGGCCATAGTGGACACAGCTACATTACCCATGAGGAGAGTCAGCTGATGAATAGGAATGCTATCCTCACATACCTGAGCAGTGGCCCAAATGTAGTTTTTCTCATCTATGGTACAATTCTGCAATAGTACCACCAATAGATGAATCCAGGCTAACTCAAAAGATAACAACAACTGTTCAAAGTCCTCTATGAATTTTGCTGAGTTCTCTGAGAAGCTTCCTAACTGATCTTTACACTGTTTGAGATCTGCCGGGGTGAAGGGGACATGAAGTCACACCAGCTGCCCTGCAAGGACTGACTCTTCCTGCAGAGATAGAAGGTTTGAGGGAGCATATGCCGGCGGGGCACCAGAGGTTACTGTCTGCTTCTTTAGATCTTTGCTGACAGTGAGATTGGGCACTCTACTGCTAGGGCTCACTTCTACATACCTACACACTCCTCTGGTCTCTCTCTGAGACCATAATAGGTCTCGCTCTGGTAGCATAGTGGTTACGAATCGGACTGTTAACCTAAAGGTTGGCAGTTCGAAACTACCAGCTGTTCCACGTGAGAAAGATGAGGCTATCTGCTCCCGTAAAGATTTACAGCCTCGGAAACCCTGTACAGGGTCACTATGACTCAGAACCCACTCCATGGCACATAACCACCAACCACCACAACTAGGGCTCACTTCTACATACCTTACATACCTACACCCTCCTCTGGACCTCAGAGCACTTAGGGTTTTTTTACTAAACAAGTCTTGTTGGAGAAAGGTGTTAGAATTTAGACTTCCATTTGCAGGCCCCTTCTCCTGGCCTCCTAGGGTGTATTGGGGCCAGACAGTATCACAAAATAAATGTGAGCTTCCTTTTCTTTAGGCTGTCAAGATTGAGTCTCTTCCATTTTATGAGCTGTTGTCCCAGGGGGGAGTTATACAGAATCAATGACATTTGGCCCATGTTACCTGGAAACAGAGCAAGTCTCTAGGCTGGGTGTCCCCTAGTCCTAGGACTTCTTAAGGTTCTGGAGAGAGTGGAACATCCTCTGTTCTCCTCCCCTTTCAGGGTGTATTTCCATCCCAGATTTCCTGGATGCTGAGCCATGGCTTTGGCTCCTGTCAGAGCATCTTTGAAGAGAGCCCCATGTCTAGGTTCCTATATACTGCCCATGTTCAGTTATCAAAATCCCCGCCCCCAGGTGAATTCCCCATCTATGGATATCCTTCAACACTTGCACTCTTTCCTGAAGAATGCTAATGTACTTGTCCAGTAAGGTAATCTTGGAGAAAGTCCAGTCCCGACTTAACACTAGCCCAAACTCTTCCTTTACATTGAAACAGAAATATAAATGCCTTATGAGAACCCTCAGAACCCAGCAATCCAAGTGGAGAAAGAAAGTAAAAGTGCATAGGGAAGAGGCCAGCAGAGGGAACAAGGATGGCTTCACTGGCGCTGGGCCCAGGCCCACAGTGAGCTCCAGTTAGAACCGAAATTTTGAGCACATGGTGGGAGAAAAAGACAGTGCTGGAGAGCAGCCAAAGCCAGCCAGACAGGCACGGTCCCTAATCTGGACAGTGTGGTGAGATTATGGGCAGGGCTCCCTTGGGAGGTCACTTGCGTGGTTGCTCCTTCCGTCTTACATGTCTTGACTCTTCCAGGGTGCCCTGAGGAGTCACCCAGGAGGATTCAAGAGTGTGCCAGTGAACCAGACCTTGTAGTGGTGTTCTCCAGCAGAATCCAATTTATTATAGTGTGTTGATAGAATGGGTCTTCTTGATGCACCTGCATATCACTGTTTTAAATACAACACCTCCGCTAGGTTACTACTCATGTGGGACCATGCAAAGCCTTGAACCAGAGGGAGGGAATGACTCTTTTGTGTTAGGACCCTGGGACACACTCAGAGACTTGTTCATTTGTGTTGCCTAACCTGAAACTCTCAACAAACATACAAGAGAGAGGAGAGGTAGCAGGGGAAGTAATCTTACTCACATTCCAGATGAGATGTGGAGTAAGTCTATCCTGGGTTTTGACACTAAAATATCATGGTTTAAGTGTTATCCTTGAGACAGTGCTACTGCACTCCCAAAGGATTGGGAAAGCGTATGTAACACACATATGCCACGCAAAAAAAAAGTTAGAAAGACAAGAGGCTTATGGAAATGAAAGATAGGTTTGTTAAGCATAGACATTCTTACAGAGAGGTAAGAACAGGCATCCACCTAGGGAGAGAAGAAGAGGTGGGTCCCTGAATACAATTAGGTTTCTTCTTCACATATCCCTTTGTCAGGCGAGTGGGCACTCTTGGTTTGAGTGCTCCTGAATTGGTCCATAAATGGTTTCTTTGAGTCTTATTTTTCAGGTTTTGTCTTATTATTAACTAACTTTATTTCTTTTTACAGACTCCTTTCTCCCT